ATAAATTAATTGCACGGTACTTAGTGAGAAGGAGAATTTCATCTTTTACTAATTAATGTCAAACATTTTATCTTCTTGAAATTTGTATTCTGTAACTATTAATTTAATATCAATATTTTTACTTTATTCTATGAGACAAGAGAGACATTTAAGGGATAAATTTCAGTAATTTTACTCCATTCTACGAGACAAGATTTTGAAGGAAGTTAATCATAAGGTAGTGTGCGTCTAAGTATTTTTTGCTACTTCATTTGTCTTTTAAAACAAATATAAAATTTATACATCAAACTATAATAAGAGGAAGACTAAATGCAAAAAAAATCTTCTATGAATCAACTATAATCATGAGTGTGTACTTCTATCTTTGTTTTTGCTACTTAAATTGTCTTTTAAAATCAATATAAAATTTATATATCTGAATTATAACAATGGGAGGACTAAATGGAAATAAAAATTCTTATATGAGTTAACTATACACTATAAGCATTTATCACTTTCTTTTTTATATATTATGTCGTAGCTCAAATACTATTTTAACAGAAATTATATAATTTCTTAATAGTTCATATATATATATATATATATATATATATATATATGTGTATATATATATATATATATATATATATATATATGTGTATATATATATATATATATATATATATATATATATATATATATATATAATACACTGCAAGCATTTATCATTTTTCTTTTTATATTTTTATTGTATCTCAAATACTATTTTAAAAGAAATTATATGATTTTTTAATTAGTTTATGTTCATCTCTATGGGGTACATGTGCAACACACATACTCATATAGTAGTATTTAGCTATATATATACATATATATACACAGGATTATATAAAGTCATTTATCAAAATAATATGTTTTTCTAAAATTTTACAAAACTAGTATAAACGTATTACACAGTAACGTTTTAGGATATATTTTATTTTTTAAAGTGATGGCGTCAGATTAATATACGTTACTCACACTAACGTTTTAAAAGTAAAACGTTACTTACAGTGACGTATATCAACCTAATGTTGTTAGTTTTTAAAAAATAAAATATACCCTAAAACGTTACCATTAAATACGTTTGTACTAGTTTTGTAAAATTTTAGAAAAATGTATTACTTTGGTAAATTGTTTTATATAATGACTTAGTTTGGTTAAAAATTCTCGCTTTCTTTGTAGATGACTTCGCGTTGAGTTATAGTTGTTATTTGCGGGTCTCGATGATATTTTATGTCGTTTGTCCCTATGTAGTGGCTGATGAAGTTATTTTGATTGTCGATATATAGGCTATATATCGTCGAGCGTAGTATTGTGTATTTAATACTAACTTTTTGTGCACAAAGTCTCAGGTATGTGGTGTTTAAATCTTCATGTTTCATTTAAATATTCTCTTATCAGTGTACTACATATAATATGCATAATAGTAATGAGTTATTTGATAGTCCAGAACAATTTGCGTTGGTTGATACATTTTTCTTTGGAAAAATTACATAAACAAAGACCTTTTATTTTATAATTACCAATTTTAAGTACACTTTTTATTTATTACCATTTTTGTCAACTTTTAGCTATATTAACTTAAAACAATTTAAAACCCATTTATTCCTTTTTTATACAAATTTTAAACAAAGTAAAACATATTATCGTTCATATCCTTTCTCGCTCTTTTTTTTCTTTCTCCTTCTCCTCGTCAAAAATTAGGGTTTCTGTTTGTTTTTTTTCTCCATTTTTCTGTACGAATCTTAATGGAAAAAGATCTTAGAAGAAGTCCGCGTCTAGTGACGCCTTCGAATCCAAAAATTTATCGAAGAAATCGAAAGAAACTTCAAGTTTCGTCTTCTAATTCTATGGATGAAATTCCATGTTTTAGTTTGGGTATATCACAAATTTCGGGAGAGAAG